GACCCCGCGCTGGAGCCCTACGTGCAGACCCGCATCTTCAAAATCATCGTGATCGGAGACTCCAACGTGGGCAAGACGTGCCTGACCTTCCGCTTCTGCGGGGGCACCTTCCCCGGCAAGACCGAGGCCACCATCGGCGTGGATTTCCGCGAGAAGACGGTGGAGATCGAGGGGGAGCGCATCAAGGTGGGCCCCGCACCGGCTCCGGGCTGGCTCACACCAGCCCCGGAGGGACCCGCTAAGCCCGCGGTGGGTCCCACACCGGTACCAGTGGGCCCCGCTCTATCCTCCGTGAGCCCCACTCTGTCCCCGGTGGGCCCTGCACCGGCCCCGATCTGCAGCCCCAGCAGAGATGGCAGCCGGTCCCCATCCCTGCCTCTTGCCAAACCCCTCCTGGGGGCTTTTCCTTTCATCCCAGTTGGAGGGAGGGAACAGGGCCAGGGAAGAATTCTCGTCCCTGTGTTGCAGAGATGGCCCTGGACCAGTCCCTGCTGCCTTGTCGCTATTTCTGGGGTTGGCTTGAGCATGCAGAGATCAGAAGTGATGGCTCCGGGTGAGTCACCGCCACCCTTGCGATGGGCACAGCTGGATCCTCGCAGCATTGGGGTGGCTCCAGCTCCGGATACTCGACCAGCAGAAGGGTAGAGCTGCGGTGGGATGGGGACAGGACTCTGTGCCACAGCCAGGGGGTCTGGGGGGGCAGAGGGTGGTGGGCTGGCAGCAGCCACACTGGAAGGCTGAGAGCTCACACGGGCCAGTGGCAGCGGGCTCGGCCGCCGCGGCAGCAGCGGTGCAGGAACCTGCTCCCAGCTGCACCTGGAGCTGCGATTGCAGCAGGATGAATTTCCTTATGAACGCTGGTGTGACACCTGTAAAGAATGATCAGCCCAGACCTGAAGAGCTCTGGCTGGTGTGTCAGAACAAATCTGGCACTGGTAGGAACTACCCAGGAGCAGAGTTTGTGGTGGAGCTTGGCCTGCACAGCTGTGGGGATCAGCACCCACAGCCCCTGAAGAACAAACATCGCTGCTGTACTGACAGATGGCTGATCAGAAGTTGAACTCACAATGACGCCAGACATTGTGTTGGTGGGTGAGAGCTTTAGCTGTGCTTCTAGGCTGTCCATGAATGTTTTTCCCTCTGTTCTTTAGAGGTGCTCATCCTCCCTGCCCTCCCCAGCTCTGTCCAGCCCCACAGAGCTGTGCCAGTGTGAGCTGTGGTGCAGGCTGGCATGGAGCCTCTCTGCTGCCACTATCCAGAAAATGTTGCCAGGTTTTCTACCTTTGGATATTATTTGAGCTCCAGTGGGCAGGAGTGGGAGGTAGTGCAGCAAACCAGCCTTTCCCGGGATATGTATCCTAGAGAGGAGGTGAGAGGTGGGACAAGGACCCTCCTTCTCTCGCTCTACCTGGGAGAGACTGGCCATGAAAGGACTGAGCAGCAGCTCTGCTCTGCCAGCATTTTTCAATTGGAAAGACTCTGAGGCAGGTACTGTCTCCATGGGTACAGGGCAATTTGGATTAACCTGGAAATTGCCCCTCCCAGGCTACAAAACATTACCAGGAGAACGCAGACTGACCCCTGGGGCATGCTGCTGGTTACCAGTGTTCAACCAGACTTGGTGTCACTGACCAGCACCGTCTAGGCCCAGCCATTCAGGCAGTTCCCAGTCCACCTCATTGCCTGCTCATCCAGCCCAGAGGCCTCCTGCCATCTCTGTCACTTGGGTCAGGAAGTTGTCATCGATGGTGTCCTGGAATGTTCTGGATTGCCTGTGCCCTGCTGTGCTGTCCTTCCATGAGGTGTTGGGGTGGCTGAAGCTCTCTGTGAGAACCAGGGGCTGCAAACACAAGGCTGCTGCTCACCGTCCACAGAGCACCTGCTTGCTCTGCCTGGCCAGGTGCTCCATAGCAGAGACCCCCTACAATGTCATCGGGCATGTTTTGTTTTTTAATCCTCCCCCACGAGCTCTGTTGGCTCCTCACCCATCCCCACAGCGCTCCTGGCCCTCCCACTGTGCTCCTACACAAAGGGTGGCTCTCCCTCCTCATTTTCTCTTTTCCTCTCTGAAATCATCAGCGTTCTCAGTCATGGCGTAGGATTTGGTGCGCAAATAGACATGGATCTGTTGGAGTGAGTCCAGAGGAGGCTGCAAAGATGCTCTGAGGGCCGCAGCCCCTCTGAAGTCAGGCTGGAAGAGCAGGGGTTTTTCAGCCTGGAGAAGAGAAGCCTTGGGGGAGACCTTAGACCCCCTTCCAGTGCCTGAAAGGGCTCTAAGAGAGCCAGAGAGGGACTTGGGACAAGTGATGGAGGGACAGGACAATGGCCTTAAACTGAAGGGGGGCAGGTTTAGATTGGGTATTAGGAAGAAGTTCTTGGCTGTGAGGATAGGGAGGCCCTGGCACAGGTTGCCCAGAGAAGCTGAGGCTGCCCCTGGATCCCTGGAAGTGTCCAAGGCCAGGTTGGAGAGGGCTTGGAGCAACCTGGGATAGTGGAAGGTGTCCCTGCCATGGCAGGGGGTTGGACTGCATGATCTTTAAGTTGCATTCCAGTCCAGACCATGCTGGGACTCTCTGAAACCCAGACAGCAGGAAGACCTCCTGCAACCCCTTCCCCATGGCCTTGCCATGCTCCACACTCCTGTAGCGTCTTTTCTTGTCTGCTTCACTTCCCAGGTGCAAGTGTGGGACACAGCTGGCCAGGAGAGGTTTCGGAAGAGCATGGTGGAGCACTACTACCGCAACGTGCACGCTGTGGTCTTCGTGTACGACGTGACCAAGATGAGCTCCTTCACCAACCTCAAGACGTGGATCGAGGAGTGCAACGGGCATGCGGTGCCCCCGCTCGTCCCCAGGGTGCTCGTGGGGAACAAGTGTGACTTGAAGGACCTGATCCAGGTGCCATCCAGCCTGGCCCTCAAGTTCGCCGACGCTCACAACATGCTTTTGTTTGAGACCTCGGCCAAGGACCCACAGGAAAGCCAGAACGTGGACGCGATTTTCATGTGCCTGGTGTGCCGGCTGAAGGCGCAGCGCTC